ACCTTAAATAGAATTCAGGGTCGGACCTAAGGTGATGCCCAAGAGCCGGCCGCCTAAAGCCCAGAATCTTTGAGGACGAAAAATTTTCTTCTTTTTTGAAATTTAAAAAAAAAAATTATAATAATCATATAAAATAAAATGTTAGCTTAATTTTGTAAAGGGTTACCACTAGAAAATTTAATTACTACACCACATTATATTCACACCACAATTAAAATATAATTTCAATAAATACACCACGATAAATTTACAATTATACTCCTAACACAATAAAAAAAATGAAAAAAAAAATGTGGTGTACATATCCACCCACTATTAATCATCTTTCTTCTCTAACCCTTTCTACCCTATTTGATTAGAACTTAGAACATTTGATTCAGCATCAGAATGGAATCTCCCATTTCGAAAATGTCAACTCTCATCGCAATCAGAGATGCTCACTGAACGCCAAAGATCAGATCATCACTCTGAAGAATCCGAAAGGTCTGAAATCGTGATTAAATCATCAATCCCAATTTCTGAAAGCTTTTGTTATAATGTGGAGAAACAAACAAGGGTTTTGGATTTTTCAGGAAAGGAAGCAACCTGTTGCGGGTTTCTGTTGCATTTATATAGACGGTAACTAGGAAGCAATAAATTACCAGTACACACACTCTTTATCTCATCATAAAAAAATGCACAAAATGGTAAATTTCTGTGTTGGCAAATGTAATGAAGTGAACATAGATCCCTTTGGATTAGATCTTTGTACTTTTGTCTCTGCAAGACTTTATTCTCAATGCAATTTTTCATTAATAAAAAAAAATTTGATCAATTGCTTGAACAAGTGTAAGAAATAAAAAAGAATCAAAACTTTGGAGATTAAACAATTGACATATGTGTATGAATGAGGCAGAAGACACTGCAAACGTAGAAGAAAGGATTTTGTTTATGTTTGTGGTGGAATAATAATTTATTTTATTAAAAAGTATATTAAAACTTTAATTATGTAATTTTATTTAAGGTTATTTAAGTAAATAAAAAATGTGGTGCACTTAATAAATTTTGTAATGGTAATATAATGACCTTTTTACTGTATAGTGATGTCACATATTTGCCCATGTGTATATTAGTTTGATTACCCCTAACAATTTCATGTTTTTTTCCCTTAATTTTTGGGGCAGTTTTCAATTTGCACTATTAGTCCCTAACATTTAGCATGTCTGGCAAATTCCGCCCCAACCTTTAAAATGGATTTTTCAATCTCCAACCTTTGGTTCCATTTATGTATTTTGACCATCTATTTCCATAGACCTTAACCTTCTCATGCGCCAGAACACTATGCTTAACACCTAACACAATCTTTCATTACCTCTTTTTTCTTTTTCAATTTCTATTTTGAAATAGAAATTGTTTCCTTTTCTAACATACAAATCTTGTCAAGAATTAGTTTAATGCACGACCATTTTACAAAGAAATTTGTGTAAAAAAATTTAAAAAGACGACTCTACACAAATTTTCGCATTTAATGCGCATGAGTAACTATAAATTCCATTATTTTCCTACATTTGAACGAAGAAAATTTTTGGAATGTACACTATGATTTGATAGCCTAACTTTTAGGGCCTGTTTGGGCCCTATTTTTTTTACCAAAAAATTTGATTTTTTGCCCGTTATTTCACTATTTCAGCCATCATATTTGATTTCTTCTCTCACAGATGGACCTCACTTTTCTCGTAACGGTCAAAAAATCAATTTTCAAAATCACTCCCAAACAGTCCCTTAAAGTTTAACGTAGATCTTCAAATTTTTAAGTCCAACCCTAATAGAACCCTACTACACATTGCTATTATAGGATAATAGCACGTTGACCAATGTATTTTGACTGCACTTGATTTATCAAAACCTTTTCGACTTTTGGGTCTCAAAGCGTCAAACTTTCGTAACAAAACTCTATCTGGTAAACGGGACGATGATGGGGAATATAATTCCTGTCCGAAAGTCTCCGAGCGTTTCCGTATTTATTTATTTTCTTTTTATGGTTTTCAATTAAATTTTTTTAATTAAAACATAAAATATTATTAACTAAATGGGGGCGAAAATACTTCTTTTCAAAAAAATCTAATCGATGCCACGTGCGTTGCACGATTATTGTATTTTAATGTCTTTATTAACGTGATGTAGAGATTTTAATTTTCTTGTCATAATCCTAACATGCTTTTGAAGTTTGAATTAAATTTTTTAGCATGAATTTTCTCTAACAATTAGTAAAAATTAAATTTAAAATTGTGAGAATATAAGTAAAAGATAATTTATAATTTTATGGAAATCCCCACACAGTCTATGTCCCCGCACAATTCGTGCAGAGTCCCCACACAGTCTGTGCGGGGACTCCGCACCAAGATTGCTACAAGAAGTCATACTTCACGAGTTCTAGGTGTTTGCGTGCTTAAAGTGATTAAGAGAACTAATATTACCAAAATTCAGTAAAAATGAGTATTTATTTATATAAGCAATGGATGAAAAGTGGAAATAACTTCCTAAAAAATGAAATGTACAGTCATCAACATTGAGAAAAAACACGCAACATATAATCATATTGTGCTGCTGGCTCATTTTCAATTAATTACTACCAAAAAGTTTAGCAACGGGAATTCTATAGGCATAGATAGAGATTCAAATAGTCTGCCCAATCACCTTACTATGCTCTACTTAAACTTATAACTAAAAACTTAACAGAAATCATTTGTAACTATTAACTAAAATAACAAAACCCCTTATACTTGGAGCAATTCAATCATTTTCACCAAACTTATATGCTTAACCTAATCATTCATCGATTTCTTACTAATTTCCTTAATCCTACATTTTCCTGCTTCAGGTGCCAAACAATAGCCTAAAAAATTAATCTATATTTCCTTTTCTTTTTTTTTCCTCTCTATTTTCTGTTGATCTTATGGCCAAAAATTCAATATAAAAAGACATATACAAACTGAAAATACACACATTCTTAATATGCACAAAGTATGAATAAACACATATCAAGAGTCCTAATAAATAAAAAGTTGAAAATAAATAAAAAGGCAGATTTCTTCCCTAATTGACTCTAAAAAAAAAATTAAAATTCAAGACTTCTTCACATATCAAAAGTCTATTCACGGCATCATCGGAACAATCATCAACAAACAAAACACATACACCCAATATTAATGAAATGACGAAAACTCAAACATCTAACACATAAATTTAGGGATTAAGATAAGATAAGCTCATACCTTCAAAATTATTTAGTGTTAAAATCCAAAAAGCCTTCGCACAGTCTGTGCAGGGACTCCGCACCAAAATTACTACAAGAAGTCATACTTCACGATTTTGCCAAAATTGCTAATGCATGAGATACACAAGAGACGTAAATGAATTAACAAACTAATAAGCATTTTAATTTACATTAAACCAATAATATACCTCTCAATTCACACAAAAATCCAAAATTGTGAATTGAATAAACAAAATTATAATTATCAGATAAAATCGAGGATATACCTCTCTATTCACTCGAAATAAAAAATTTTGCACGTAGAATCTTGAATAAACATAATCATAATCTGAGAAAAAGGGCATGCTAGGATTTACCTCTCTATTCAAGAGAATTTTACATGAAGAGATTAATCACAGAAAAAAGATAGAAGAATTGAAGAAGAAGTGAGAGAAAAAAATTATGATGAAGAAGAAGAAAGCTTGTGTTTGGGTTTGCGTGAGGAAATAGTTTCACCGTCCTTTTGAGTAAGAAAAAATGGGTATGGTTGATAACTACGGTGAAATCATTGTTTAGCTATAATAGAAGTCCCGAAATTATTGCAACTTAAGTGAATTTTATTCATCTTATAATAGTTAGAAAAAAAATTTATATAAAATTGCAGTGCACTTTTATCCGCGAGTGAAATCCAAACAAGCACATATTGTATCTATTTCTCTCTTAATAGCCCCCAGGGCATATCTCCCAGTGGCAAAGGGGAGGGCGGATAGGGCTCAGCGCGACAGTGTGCAGAGTTCGATTCCCCGCAAGGTGGAATTGACTTTATTGCAAGCGGGAGTACCATATGAGTTAACAGTTTTAACCTATCCATGTGCTCTCCACCCTGACTCCTGGGAGGGACATCCTGCGATTTACCTCTTCCACGATGGCCCAGTGTAGGGTCGGTGGGGGCCCTTAAGGTTGGGGTTCAACCATTTAGATGGCCATGCTAACCTCGTAGGATTGTACCTTGCTAGATTCAGAAAAGATTTTCCCCACAGTACAGCATGGCCACTACGAAAAAAAGTTTGCAAGAGGGATCCACATCCAAGAAAAAAAATCTCGAACCCGATGCACTCTTTAGCAAAATTTTACGAAAAAACACAAAAGAGAGAAAATTTGAGTAGTGAAAGTTTCCTGTGTAATAAAATAATCGACGTGTATGCCATATAGATCCGCCAATTGACAGCTAACTGCAACCCATTCTCCAAAATCTTCCCCTTCACTCAACTCACTAATTTAAAATTGTACGCCTTTAATTAAGGGGGGGAAAAAAAGAAAGAAAAAGAAAAGAGGATATCTCTGTGTAGTAGCTTTAAAAAATCAACTCTAGGTACTAACTGAAGCGACTTTTTTGACAAATGTGCGTCACTGTTGGTGGTGATTAGATTGACTTTGACCTAACGAACAGCAAACAAGCTCAAAGAAACCATTGTTTTGTGCTTAGCGCTATCAATTTTCAAGATATAAAAATATACAGCTAAGCTTTTTCTCCTTTTAGGTACAACAAAACCCAGCTAAGCTAACATAAGAATCTTGCAGAACAGAACAAAAAAGGAGGTTAATCGACAAGACAAGATGGTCAAAAGCCAGAATGCGAAGCATGTGATACAAGTTGCAACAGCGAATGTGCAAAGTAACCTTCGATTCTCCCCATGTTTAGACCATCATATAAAAACATAGGATTAACAATATAATACTAATGACTATTTAACAAACAGAAGAATTATATATTAATTAAAGTTTCTATTAATTGAATCCGTCGATGCAAACAAACTGTAGTGCACTAGCACCACAAAAGAGAAAAAATGGGCTGCAGTTTCAACCAAAACGAGACTCCAACCCCTTATATGCCATTTCAAGGCAAATTAACACCTAATACAATTCCAAGCTTCTTATTCATCATTCCTTTCCCAACAGGAACAAAAAACAAAAAGAAACTGCCACCCATAGGTTTCTTGTACCCAACAAAATATGTTGCATTCTTCAATCTTGACTAAAATTTTATTTTGTTCAACCTAACACTAATTCAAAAAATAACACATTTCTTAGCTGCTATATATAATTACTATCTTCTACTGCTTAATTGCTTCCGTTTAACTAGTAAAAACCTACTACTATCGAGCTTTCGACTTTCAATTTTTCCCTTGGTAATGCTTGAAACAATGTGGGCACGGGTCAGTACGTCCACTCCTGGGGGAGCCGGAGTTCTTGAGCCACCGGCTGTAATCTCACGCTATGCATCTTTTGGCCCATTGCAACATTGTTTCTATTCTTCAAGCCATCTGTGCATGTTAACAAAGAACAGAAGGTAAGAACAACTATGAAAGCTAATATTCTAAAATATGAGAAATAAATCTAGTTATACCAGAGTCTGGATTGCAACTTGCAGCGCCCCTGGAATAAACCTGCGGATGGGTATCTACGGAACCCAAGTTCAAATTTAAGGCCTGGACCACTCTGTCTGGCAGTAGAACTGTAGAACAACCTGTATTAACATAGAGAATGAACACTCGTATACAGTAGAATAAGAACAAACAGTAAAACAAAACCAGAATGATCAGATGTGTGTGAACTAGTAAATGAGCATAGTAACCCATTACTCCATAAGAGTACCCACATCCCACGTGATCACCAGCAGCCAAATGAAATTATTAGACACCAACACGATAACATGGGCACCCACTCATAGTATTGCATTCAATATCAAACCAACTCGTCCCAAAACTTTAACCTTCTAATTTCTAAATTTTAATCAAAGTACGACCCTATTTACAATTTTCATAAATGGATGTGGGGTGGATGGAATTTTATCTGACACCATGTTACTTGACTAGCACATTTTATTAACTTAAATTTTACTTGCTTAAACAATAAGCATGTAGTTAAGTATCGATTATTCATGAATATTCGACCTGGCTTCTTGCGATTTTCAGTCTGGGTTCCTGATCCTCTGGGCAAGAAGACTCCAGTGCCGGCACGTTCTCTTTTAGTCCCGGGATCTCCAAGAAACATGGCCCTCATGCCAGTCCTAGGATGCCTTTGGGACTGTTGTAAAGTAGGCCAAGCCGCCATTGATAAGTCCTGAGGCTGAGGCCTCTCTCCCTCATTCCTCCTAACATTTGGAACCATTAGCGGGTACCCACCCATACCCTGCCCCCATATTCCACTCCCATGTTGCTCCTGTTTCATCATCCGTTGCTGCTTTAATTGTTGGAACTGAAAAAAAAAAAAAGTTTCACTCAGTTCATGCGTTACAAGTTATTGAAACAGAAACAATTAATGATTTTCTATGAAGAAACAGAAAGCATACCTGGGTAGCTTGTAACTGCCGATAAGAAAGTTGGGGTGCTTGATTTGGGTAATACCCAGAGCCATAATGGGGATTATCGAGGGGGACGGAAATCGGATTGAGCTTTTTGGGGGCACCGAAAACTCCTCCAACACCTC